CAGTCCCATCCTGATACTGTGTTCCAGCAGGGCCTGGGCTGGCTGACTAAAGGCAAAAAGGACAATGATGTTGACTTTGGTCTTGATAATTGACTGAATGGTATCTTCCAGATGGTTTTTGGCTTCAGGGTCTGCAAGGTCTGTAGGAATTAGCCCCTCGAATGCAATGCAGATGTTGTGATTTCCAGCTATGCTTAAGAAGTGCTCCTGGGCTCCTCGGCCATATTCATCATCGCTTCCAACGGTGGCAATCCAGTTCCATCCAAACTTGTTCAGTAGCAGGACCACAGCTTCCACTAAGTTCTTATCACTGGGAATGGTCCGGTAGAAGGATGGGTACAGGTCCGTGTTGCTGAGCTTCTCACTGCTGGCTCCATAGCTGACCTGCGAGTTAGAGGATAAGAGAGAAAGCAAGACAAGGAGTAAAGTTGAGGGAAGTGTTCACAGTCCAGATCATTCTCCACCTTCTTTGCTTAGTCTCAGTGCACTAGACTTTCAAAAATGCTGGGTCAGGATAGTGGGGAGGAAGAACTCATCTAAAGGGGTAAGTCCATCACGGTTGCATTTACCAAGAGAACCATAAACTAGTCCCTGTCACTTGCCCCTGGTAGCACTGTCCCACATGCCTATCTCCTTCCACTGCCATTTGTGTCCACGTCACAGCACCAGCCCTTATCATTGATGACAGTGATAATTAACTACTTTCTACAAAGGTGACACACCCAAGGTTCAGTGCTGTCTTAGCTCAGGGCTCGTATTTACTTGACCATTATGGTTCTCTGTTGTGGTAACCAAGTACTTACAGTCACAGGTGTATTTTTCTGGGATCCTCCTGGTTTACACTGGGAGCTCTGTTATTCCCATTTTACGTGGATCACAGAGCAGCCCGAGTTATCCCTCTTCTCTCTGGGAAGTTGGACACTGGAGTGTGTTCCAGGAGGGAAGTTTAATGACCTACCCAAGATCATGTAGGGAATCTGTGGCAGAGGAAAGACTGGAATCTGTGCTTTAACAGTCTTGGTTCAAAGACCTAGAGCATAGACAGTGTTGCTGATCCAGACCCTTCCACCAAAAAGGAGAATTCTTGCTTCTCCAGAGAGTTTCTTTACCTGTGGGATCAAGAGGAAGCTGAATAATTTGGCTGTTATCAGGCAGAGCTCTGACTTATGTGGTCCAATGACAGCAGTGACACGAGGCTGGTAGTCGGTGTAGTTGCAGAGTACGCCAATGCCCGTTGTGCCCTTTTGGGTCAGAAATAGCAAGCTGGGCTGTAAGGCCACCAGTGGCTCAAAGCAGGTGTCGTACATGTCATAGCCCAACTTTACTCCTGGGAGAAGTGAAGTGGAATTGTTGATCTCATCGATAGCAAACTTCATCCCGAGAGCCCATATCAGCCCGTCTATAAATAACCTGCAGTAAGAGGAGACAGGGAATTACACGGTCTATCAGTGCTGTCGGAGTGCTGATCAGCTTATTCCACCTTCTCTGACATTTTAGCATCGTGGCTGTGGCCAAGCCAGATACACGTGGCACTGTCAGCAGAGCAGCCCTGTACCCATAGCCTTTCTACATTTTGTACTGCGAGTAGAGAGGCTCTGAGCACCTTTCAAATCTATTTAATCTTGTCTGTCAGCAAATACATCCTCTGTGCTTCACAGGAGAAGAAACAGAGGTAGAGAGAGCCCAGTTTAGCTGTGAGGATCAAGACTCGGATATCCTCCTGTTCTGAGCTTTGTGTACTTCAGCCATGAAGCCAGTGGTTCCCAAAGTGCTGTGTGTGCTAATTGAGGAGAGATGTCCTCCTGCCTGGCGTTTTCCTCCGCTGTGTAGCTCAGTGCACTGGGTGTAATCCCTGCCCCATGCCCTGCAGTGATGGAAAGATTTTGGACCGTGCTTTGCTGCTGCCAAAGAAGCAGGTAGGACACTAGCATGTCTTTTCATTCTCCTCACCAAGAGCTTTAACTAGCTTGTAATGTGATGGTGTGAACCACCATGGTGTAAGTGAGTAGGAAATACTGACCACACACTGGCAAGCCTGCAAGGCAGGTGATTTAGCTTCCTGCTTTGCCTTGTGCATGGTACTGAGTGTCCTTTTACCTCATAAAAGGCAATGGCACCATCTCAACATGTGTCATCTGCCTGCTGAGTGCAGCTGGAAGCAAAAGCAACATTTCCACCTCTGTATGTTAAACTCCAAATGCTAAGGAAGGCAGTGCTACTGAAAGCTTTCATCAAAATGGGGTGGGATGCAGCTGAAGTTTGACTGCATAGTAGCATCAAGAAAAGACAAAACCATTTTCTGTTTCAGGATCAGAAATTGATGGCACAGTTGCACCAGCACCTTGGGGCTAATCTTTGTTTCCATCTCACCTTTAAAGTGCAGCTGTGAGACCATCCGTTCCTATCAGGACTACTTTATTTTCCTTTCTCTTCCCAGCCCAAGTGACCAAACTTAACAGGTACTAACAAAGCCAACGTTCCTCTTACCTTTCACACACAACTAACGTGGGCTCTGATCGTGCCGTCAGGTTTACGGTGTCCACTCCAAAAGGGAACAATCCTCCTATGATATAATCACCAGGCCTTCTAAACTGAGCTGATAGGCACGTGGGTTTGAGGGCTGCTGCATACCCAACGCTCAAGCACAGCAGCAGCTCAGGGACCATTATTTGTCTATTTGGGAGAAAATATTTCAAAGAAATCTCCAAGCGAATGTGGGAGAGGGAGCAGGGGCAGGGGATCCAGTCTCATCAGTGCCTGGGAAGTCTCTTTAAATAGAACTGAGAGAGATGAAAATAATGGGGAAGAATTTGTTTAAAAAAAATGCATTAAATGTTTAACTCTACGCTTGGTGAGCAATAGTCAAATATGTACCAGTGCCCTGTGAGTGCCCTTGGTTACCAACCACTGGCCTAATCCTGCTTTCCTTACTCAGTGAGTAGCCTTTACACAAGCAGAGTGACTTACAACTCATTGTCACAGCTTTGGAAATTGGACTTGCTGTAGGATAAGTTGTAAACTCAGGTGCTCTACACCAATTTGGACGGGTCTTTTCCATTAACTCCCCCCTGCCTCAACCAAACAAGAAACACCTTTACTGGAATGTGTTTGTAGAAAGTGTTTGTCCCTGTTGACAGTTTTCACAAAAAATGGGACTTGTGACTTGTCTCCTGCTGGGAGCAGATCATGAGAGAGAACCAAATCTTCCTCAGATTGATTAATCAATGCAGGTTGCTCAGGTGAAAGCATGGCCAAGGAGATGGCACTGTGATGGGAGCAGAACCCAGCAAGCTGAAGTGTGGAGAATGGTGCCTGTCACCATAATGGGACTGTTACCCTACAGAGTGTGAGGAGGAAAGAATTCACTTGCTCAGCAGCATTGATCCTGCTCTTACCTGAGGTTCTCCCTGGCTGTCTCTGTTCCAACCATTCACTTGCACCGCTCCCTACTTAAAAATGGAAAGAATGACAGTTTATTTTTAAATGAGCTTCAGAATAGTATCTTGAGTTGCCTGAACTAAAGGGTAGTGGTAAGAGATGTCCACAGCAATAACTTCTTTTTTTTTTTTAAATTCAAGGTTACCCCATCATGAGAGAGAACCAAATCTTCCTCAGTGCGTCACAAGAACTTGTCCGGAGCAGGCCGTTCCTAGACTGCAAGGCTGGTGAGTTACCACTCAGCTATACTGCTATTTTTAGGAAGTTCTTTATTAGCTGATCTAGTTTTTTTCACACTGAGCTATGATGTTAACTTCAGTTTAAACATTTGGTTTAGGTACAAGTTCCACAGCACAGTAATTTCACTTGCATCATGGTTTGCATTTTTTTTTTGGTCAAGTTTGAATTTTAGAAAACAGGAGAGCTCTGCAATGAAAAGTTAAATTTACTGCATTTTTATTGGCTTATTATATATTTATAGTGTAGCATGGAAATTGCTTATACTGCCAAAGTGATACACTGATTTTGTTACAAGGCTAGAGTATTTTCCCATGTATGAAGAGAAGTGGGTACACTGTAGAAAGCGAAGTATGTGAGCATTTCAGGCAAGCACCAGTTGTAGATTTCTATGGCTACATTACAGAGGTCTGTTTATACTGACATTCTTTTGAGGATACTTTCCCCTTAGTGGAATATTTAAGTGTTAGCTTTAAGGATATAACTTCTTTTAAAAAGTTTAAATACAAATTCAACTGTGCAGCATAAAAAAAAAAACCAAAAAATTAAAAAAAGAAGCTGTTTGGATGATGTAGAATTCACACCTAGGCAACTATTTACTCCCACGTGTACTTTCACGTGAACTCAAGTAGTGTGGCATAGGAGGTAGTTTCTGTGATGGACTTTTGTGCAAAACATTCACACTCCCTCTAGTGAATCCGTACGCTGTTGCAGCTTTCAAGTGCACCAGTCACTGTGAGTGAAGGTTTTACTCTAGAATTTGGCCCCATTAGTGAAAGCTGCCAGGCTCGGAACTTGCCCCAAGCCAAGTGCAGGACCTGAGTCCAGAGTGATTTCCTGAATCATTCAGTGTTACTTTAGGACAAAATGCCTTTTATCTGAGATACAATCAAAACATGTTACAGCCTGTGGGATTCTCCCTCTTCCCCAGATACTCATGTCATCCTTAATTAACAATGTAGTGCTTCTTCAGCTTTCAAAAAGCAAAGTAAACTCCATTTTACATACTTTGAGGAGTGTGTATGTGTACAGACATACACACATCAGCTATTATACACAGTCATTTGCAACAGACGCGTAAGCCTCACAAAGTAGTGACTCACAAGTTCACATTTCTACCCAGACAGAAACATTTTTGTAGGAATTTGACACATTCATTAAAAGAAAAATCATGAAAACACAATTTAGAGCATGGCTGGAAAAACAGATAAGGTACAGTCTGCAGCCTTAGCTGGATACATAGTGTTGTGCTGTACACGCTAAAACCAGTTCCACAGTCAGCTACGTGATGCCACACGTGCCGTGGCTCCTTCACATCCCTCCTGTCAAGGAAGGTCCAGCAGCTTATGCTGGGCAAAGAGCTCCTGGGTGATGCCGTAGACGTCGCAGATGTAGGGTAGGGCCTCGCCCAGCATGGCGATGGCCTCCTCGGGCGTGCCCACGTTCATGATCTCCAGGAAGGCCTTCCGCGAGGGCAGCGTGCAGAAAGCCGCCGTGGCCACCTTCCGAACCACCCAGGGGTGGTAGGTAGCCAGGGAAGCGTTGTAGGAGTCCCTGCAGATGACAGATGTCCGGGAGTCCTCCT